TGCAGAGCTACCGGGATTTTAAAGTAGTTTAAAGTAGCCTGCTCTGACCGGTTTTAAAGTATTAGAGTGGCGAGCGCTCACACTAAACATGGCCAAAGACTTCCTGCATGTACAGCTAATAATCCCTGTGAGCTAAGAGCTGAGCCTCCTTTAAACATTCAGGTCGAGGCAGCTTCTGTTTGTGCTTCATGTCAGCTTATATCCTCGCGACGCTCTTATCGTTTTCACATCCAACCCGGGGCCGAGTGCGTTCGAGTGCTGCAGCACCAGTGTTGTAGTCAGAGCCACCGCGGCGGCTCGCGGCATCTCCTCAGCAGAATAAGGATCGTAATCAGTCCGAGACGGAGGAGCTGGAGTCTGGCAGCAGCACAAGACTCTGAACAACTAAATGAGTCTGAGGACTGCAGGGACTATTAGATGGGTAGGAACAGCAGATCGCATTGACGCATGCATTTGTTTCACAGGTCAACTCTTATCCTCAGTCCTGCCTCTAAAGATATATTTGGATGTGATCACTGCTCCAAAGAGTGGCAGCCCCGTGTCCACTCCAGTCTGTGTGTTCATGCAACATGTTGTGCGTCTCCTGACTAGAGTCTGATGGAGACTTCTTAATGAAAGTCTTCTCACATTAAGGTGCCAGTGCACGCAGCTCCCACGTTATCAGTCAGGGCCCATTTTCATCCTGCCAACGCTCTCCTATCAGCTGAACGAGGACGCAGTGAAACAGTGACGTGACAGAGCTAATGAAACTGAAGGGAAAAGTCCAACTTTGGAGAAAAATGCAAGTCTGAAGTTTGAAGTTTGCATCTGTGCTCGGTGCAGCATGTTCCCACAGGACGGGTTTCCACACATCAGAGACGCGTTTAATATGATAATGTTGTTTGCTGCGTATAGATGCTATGATACGCTATATATAATTTCAGTTTGACCTCCAAAAGTGGACGAGAAAGACGAGGGATTGTGATGACGCTAACACGAACAATAAACAGATCCCTTCCTTTAACTATGGTAAATGTATTGTTTCTGCACGGCTGCAGGACTCGAGGTCACGGGCTTCACAGGCTGCAGCTCTGAGGCTGATACGTCCTTGCGCAGATGTTTAATTTAATGCACCATGAGGCAAATTATATAAAAGGGAATACAGTCCCCGAGCTGTGGTTTTCTTCTCCATCTATATTTCCCTGCAGCCATCCAACTGCGGAGAGCCTGACTTCCCCCAAGCAATCTTACTTATCTCTGTTATTTTTGCTAAGGAATCCTATACAGATAATTAGATGATATTTTCCCTCAAGTCCCCCTCGTCCCAAAAAATGAAAAAGCCATAATATTTTCGACTTTCTTGAGGATGAAGGTGATACAAGCACCTTGGAGGACTTGCAGTGCAAACAGGCTTTTTGAGGCGATGATGCTGTGAATCAAAATGTGACCAAACCCTGTGTCAGTCTGTGTTCATGCTAAGCTAATTCATCTAGCCCCTTTGCTAAGCTAGTAGTAGCTTCTTAGTGGACTCACAAATAGAATAAAACAACATTAAATTGATCTAATGTGTCGCACTGCTACAACCGCACACTGTGAAGAAAAATGACTAAAATCGAATACTAAAAGTGTACAAACACGAGCTG